TTTATAAATGCATTTGTATAGTAACACTGATTATGCGTCCATGCATAACCCAGGTGAACTGACCTAAACCAGGAGGTGGCTAACCACAGAAAATTTAAAAAAATCGCAGCTCAAGGGAGTGGGAAGAAAGAGGGAAAGGAGTAAGCATTTGTTGAGGGTTTACTGTGGAGCAGTTCTAAATGCTTTGAGATGGAAAATATTTTCCCTATTTTACAGATGAGGAAATCAAGCCCCAGAAAAATTAACAATCTGCCAAAGGACAGGTAAGGAAGCTGGGATTCTAACTCAGATCAGACTGCTTTCAAAACCATCATATTACACTTCCTCCCACAAAGACAACTTTCCAAATCATTAAAAATTGGCTCTTTGAGTAAGTAAAATACTAATAATTCGTTACTGGGTATTTATTATTCAGACTACTTCAATATGTGTCATAAATCAATAGGCACCCAACGCATTTTTAGGGAAAGTCATAGTTAACAGTAAAAAACAAATAAAAAAACAAGGGCCAGAGCTGGAATATAGTCAGACTACCAATTTTAGGTTAATCTCAGATCCACCATGAACCAGCAGGTGACATGGGACAAGTAATAACTTCTTTCAGTCTCAGTTTCCCCATTCATAACATGAGCATAACATCCATCCCATCCTCCTACCTCGGACTGTTTATGAGCATTAGTTAATGTCGGTGAAATCAAAACGTAAACTAAACGAACAGTAATATAATCAAAGAATTCCTAGTCAGTAAGATCATCCTATTGAACAGCTATTTTCATGGAAACTAACTGGGCAGAAACAGGAGGAATGCGGTCCCTCGGCCACAGGAAGCTGCTGAGGCGGCGGCCGCACCTGAGCAGAGGAGACTCGGTCAGCAGCAGGTGCTGCTCCAGGACCAGGCTTCCGCTCTCTTTCTCACAACGCGGTGTGTAAAGGCGCCACCGAGGCGCTGGGAAGGGGACACTGGCCGAGGTGCGAGGCCCTGGTATCCCCTCACCCCTCTGGGCCTCAGTTCCCGCCCTGCTTCCTCGGCAGAGCGTAGGGAAAGCGCGGAAAACCCGCTGACAAGGAGCGGACCGCAGCCATCACCTGTCAGCGAAGGGCCAGCAGGGAGGCTCCCCGGAAACCCCGGGCAGGGAGGACACTCCAGGAGCGTCCCCCCTCGGCCCTCGCACCCCGGCCGCCCCGCCCACCTCGGCCGAAGGCCTCCTCAGACGACCCCCG